GTGTTATGTGTGCTATATCGTGTGTTGTGTATTATGTATATGTTGTGCTGTATAATGTGTGTATTGTGAGATGCATGCTGCACGTGTGCTTTGTGTGTCATGTGTTGTGTGTATTGTGTGTGGTGTGTATATTGTGTATGTGTATGTCGTGTTGTATATTGTGTGTTGTGTGATGTGTGTTGTATGTGTCATGCATAAATGTGTGTTATGTGTGTTGCATGTGTTGTACATGTGTATTGTGTGTTGCATGTTGTATATTGTGTGTGTGTTGTGTGTGAGTGTATGTGTGACAGTGTGTACATCCCAGGTCTTTCTGCTGTGACGTCTCAGGGCTGGATCCCAGGCCCAGCCCCAGGCTGCTGCCCCTTCTTAGTCCACATCCGCCGGCCCTTCCCTCAGTCCCTGCCGCCCCAGCAGGCCCCTTCCTGGGGAGGCGGGAGCTCGCTGCCAGTCAGTATCAGGAGTGACTTGGGGCAGGCAAGGGTGCTACTCACGTGAGTGGCAGGGACTTAACCGAGGTCTAAAAATAAGCCTGGCTGTGTCGCTGCAGCCGCAGGCCCGGGGCTGCAGAACTGCCCACAGCCTCTCCGGCCGCGCCCTCTGATGCTCGCAGGGAGCACTCCCACTGCCAGGTCACGCTGTTGCTCTCAGGGGGTGTGCACAGGCTGGTGCAGTCAGGAGTCCCTGAGACCCTGAGGAGTCGCTGGCAGGAGGCCCAAGGCAGACCAGCCAGGGAGGCCGGAGCTGGAGCCCACCCCTACCCAGGACGGGGCGGGGAGCCAGCTGGCTGTTACCACATCAACGTGCCCATCAGCTGCTGGGCCGCGCCGGGCAGGGCTGGCGTCAGCTGTGCCGCTGCACACGGCAGCCCTGCAGGCCCCGGAGGCGTGCAGGAGCAGCCAGGCCGTCCTAAGCGTCCATCCTGGCGGTGCACTTAGCGGCCAAATGACCTTGGGCACGTGACTGGCCCTCTCTGTTGCCTCAGCCCCCGGCCACCTCTAAAGTGGGACTCACAATAGACGTAGCCCTGAGTCGGGCGGGCTTGTAGAGAAGTCGCAGGTGAGTTGCTGAGTGATTTGGGACAATGTCCTCACCTCTCTGGGCCTCAGTTTCCTCACCTGTAAGATGGGTCCATCTTGGCACAAAGGCTGTGATGAAGACAGGGTGAGGAGTTCCAGGCAGAGCGCTTGGGGCCTCACAGAAGTGCGTGCTCGGAACGGTGGCGATTGCCGTAATAACAGGCACCCCTGTACCCCGTGTCTCCCCAGGCTCGTGGCTCCGCGGGTGGCAGGAGGAGGCACGATGTCACCTCTCAGGAAGACCATGACAAACCTTACGTCTGCGACAGTAAGTACGGGCTGCTGGGCCCCACCCCCTGCCCCCTGCCTGCCAGCTGCCAGCCTAGGGCCTGCTCGCCACCGCCTCCTGGGCCTGAACCCCGGCCTGGCCGCCTGCACCTCCTGCTGCTGCTGCTGCGCCCCGGGGGCTCAGCACGGGGGTGCCAGCCGGGAGGCCTCCCCACCTGCCACGCTGGCCCCGTGTCTGGCGGCGCCTCCTGCCTGGCTTTCTCTCTTTCACTCTCTCTGCATTCAAGATCCCTCCTCCATTTCTTTTCTGTTTTAGAGTCACAAACAAAAACATAACTCACAACCTTCCGACAAGGGACTTGGCTCTTGTGGCTTCACATTTGTTGCCCTTAATTTCCTCTCTCTCTCTCTCTCTCTCTCTCTCTCTCTCTCCTCCCCCACTTCCCTTCCTCCCTCCCTCCCTCTCCCCTCCCCATCCTAGGTAGGGCAAGTTATGAATCTTTCTGGGACAATGACTTGCTCTAATAAACGGCCCTCCGTCCGTCGCCAGCCTTTCTTGCTTGCTTCAGAAACATCTTTTGGACAAGTGGTTGCTTGGCTCTGGGGGTCAGGGTCTGCAGGCCGCGCTGGGGAGGGGCCGTGGGCGAGGCGCGAGGCGCACAGGGAGCCCTGCAGCAGGTGCGCCTTGAGAAACCTGCGGCCTGGGGAGCGACCGCGGGCCGCACCAGGCAGCAGCTTTTGTCTCTCCTCTGCCCGAGTGTGGGGCAGTGGCTCTTGCGTCCTTACCCTCTTGATCTTCTCACTGTCTCGGGCGCCATCTGCTCCTTCCTTGATGAGAGCTCACCTTCCTAACCATCTTCCCTTCCCGCCTTCTTGCTCTCCGGGACACAGCACCCTGCCGCTGGGGAGTAGGGGTCTCAGTGAGTGACCACAAAACAGCTGAGGCAGGACCCTGGCACAGTGCTGGTGTGTGTGGTGCCCCCGTCTGTCTTACCTTGTCCTGGGCATCTCGGTGAAGGCAGGGAGAGAGCCAGGGGAGGGAGTGGCTGTTGGGAGTACGTTAGGTGTGCTGCCTCTTTCTTCCTTCTTCGCCCACCTCTTTTGATTTCAAGAAATTGTTCTGTGCCTGGTGGGGTGACAGCTGATTGGAGAGCATTTTGCTAGAAGAATTCCAGCTCCATGGCCCCCATTTGGCTGCCTAATATGCCAGGCAGATGCCAGTCCAGGTAACGTCTCCGCCCCAGGCTACGCCTTTCTAGGAGGAGGAGGGAGCAGGGTCTGGGTTCCTGTGCCTGGGGTCCCCTGCCTGCCTCTTGGCAGTTCCAGGAGGCACCTGCTTAGGCCTGTGCCTTGCTTCCTGGACAGAGCCCTGTTTTGCTGTGGCACAGAGAAGCCCAAGCACCCTCGCTCGGGGGAGATGGGTTCTGGGCTGCCGGCTGCAAGGGTCTTCAGACCCTCGGGGAGCAGGCTTTCTCTGGATGCAGCAGCCCGTGGATCTAAGGGGCCCAGCAGCTGCGGGGAACAGGAGGGGGCATTAGGACTCTGTTCACCTTCTCCAAAATGCTTGATGTTGCTGTGTGATTTGCTGCCATCACAGACAGCGGGATTGCTTTCCCCTGCGTCTCCACCGCTTCCGCGGGCTTCCCAGCAGCAGTAATCCCGTGCTTCCCCAGACACACCGTGTGTGCCCCTTTCTCTCGCGTGCCACCTTCGTCTCCAACATCTGCCTCCTGGTAGATGATCTCCGCGAAGCACACCTTGTGGGGGGCCCTCTTGCCAGGTTCCCCTCTTTCTGCACAGAGTACTCACAACAGACCCTCCCCGCCGTGCTCCTGGCGTTCCTTAGGGGCTCCCGGTCCCTCCCCACAGGGTCTCTTCCTCCTCCCGTGTACCCTGTCCTGCTCGTGCTCGGGAGGCTGGCTCGCAGGCTGATGCCGGCTTTCTTGAAGTCTCCCTGCTGCTCTCTGGGCTCCGCCCACACCTGGGCCGCCTCCCTCTTCCCCCCTCAGCGGAGTGAGGTCCTTGTAGATGGCTCCGCTCTATTCCGGCTCTCTTAGGACGTTGTGTGGCAGCTCGGTGATTAATAGACTTTATTTTTATCTGGTGCCCTTCAGACATGTGATCCTTGGGGATGGAAATGACCTTTGGAGAGGTCACAAGGCCCACCCTCCCCCCACCCATCCCTGAATGGGGCAAGGGATGCTTTTAATAATCTCTAATGCATCCTGAGTGGAGAGGTGTCTGGTCGCTCCTCGAATGTCCCTGGGGATGGCGTTACCATAAGCTGCCCTTTCTTCCACAATTCCAGCTGTGCTTTGAGTGATTGTTTGTGCTTAGCAGGAGCTGGAACTGTTCTCTCGTGAAGGTCCCCTTTGTCTTGGGTGCATCTTTCCCCAACAGATAGGCCCGTTCAGTAGCCCGTGATTCGGGGTTGATGCGGACTCTCTCTGGCATCCCACACTGAGCTTCCTTCCAGGTCTTCTTTCAGCTCAGCCCTCTCGCTGGAAGTAGCCTCAAGGCCAACAGCAACAGACGCCTCTCCTTGATGATTTCACACATCGGCTCTTAGCACGAGGCCTGTCCGTGGAGGATGGAGTATTGGGCCGGGCCAGTGTGCTGGGCAGCACGTGGCCAGCTCCCGCTCGTGCTGCCCTGGCCCTGTCCTAGGCACCTCTCCAGGTGTGTGCGCTCTTCCACGTATGCCCTTGGGTCCCCCTTCTTCCCTAAGTCACTCGGCATTTGGCCCTGTTGAGTCACAAGAAGCAGATACTATAATCTGTGACTTCAGTGTACAAGGTTCAATAATGGGCAAGGACTGAAATTTCACTGTCCACACATTTGCAGTCCTTGCCATTTCTGTGTCATCTGTGGTTGCATTTGACTAATTCCCACTCATCTTTGAGGTTATCTACAGAAACATTCGGTCACCTGGGGCCCAACCCCTCTCTCAGGGTTGTGTGAGATGCTAACAGCTGTGTTCCGGGTGGGCTTCTACTCAGCCCTTCCTGACCTGTGTTCTGAGATATGACGGTGTTTCAAAAATTCATGGAAAATGCACATTCTGTTTTGATTCTGTTTTTCCATGAATTTCTGAGGCCCCTCTTACAGAAGTCTCCTGTTGTGTCCTTGGTCCCTACTTCCCTTACGAGGTGGATGAAACATTAACTTAGCTGCTCATTTCGAGTGACAGTTGCCTTTCACCCAGCCATTGAATTTATCCCATCTGAGGAATAGTAAATCATCTGAACATAGCTTATTTTTTATGCAATCTATGGTATGTACGTATGAATCCTTTGTTTTCCAGTAAGTAACACAATCTATATTAGTTACTCTAGAAGTTTACTGTCTTTAAGGATTAAAGTTCCTTGGTCTGAAGATCAAGTGTTTGTTACCTACCAACAAAGCCACAGGCTAGGATTTCGTGGGAAAGACCACTGGCGTTGGTCAGGGTGTGGAGCTGCCTGTGCAGAAATGACCAAGGTGCTTGTGGGATTGCAGATTCCTGGGCCTCACACCAGCCCTGCTGGGTCACAATCCCTAGGGGGTTGGGCCCAGGGGCCTGCGTGTTTTGGGAGGTTCTCAGGGGTTCTTAGAAGACTAATGTTTGCGAATGACTGGTCTACTTCCTGCAAGCCCAGAAGCTTCTGGCCTCTGAGAGTCGAGCCCGTCATTATCCCCTGCTTTCTGCATCAGGAAGTCCTTGAGTCTTCAGGAATTCGGCAGGCAGATCGCCACTGGCTGGCGTCCCTGTCTGAGTTGGTCTCGTGCGAGTCTGTCTCAGCGTTGATGAGAAACTCAGCAGTCTAGTATAAAACTTGGCAACCCAGTGCTCGATTTTTTAATCTACCCCGTGGCCTTTGCATCCTGTGGTATCGTTAGCCCCGTTTTCCAGGTGGGGAGATGACTGGGGACAGCAGTCCCTGGGGCTGAGCTCCCAGGGAGGTTTTAAGAGTCATTTCAAGAGTTTGCCTCTTCTCCCAACTGCTCCTAACTTGGGCTTCTCTTGCTGGTGTCACTGGGGCAGACCCCTAATCATTGACCCACTTTTCCACGTTCTTTGTTCTAGCTGCATCACTGAAGACGGGGGTGATGGGGTGGTGTGCAGGGAACGCTTTGTCTCCAAGCATTAGCCGCTGACAGAGGAGCCCTGAGCTGGCCACGATGGAAGTGATTTGTGACATTAGTGTTTTATTTTTTTCTGAATCACGATAATCAATCCCATTAATGAGGTGCTGACAGTGTATGCTAAGCATTTTGCAGATTGTCTCTGTCAACCCCTGCACAAACCTTGGGCTGCAGACAGGTGGCCTCATGTTTCCCTGAATAAACTGAGGCTCAGAGGGGTGAAGGGACTTGGCCCAGGTCACGGAGCTGGATAATGTGAGCTAAAGCTGGGATGTGAATCCCAGAACTGACGCATCCCAGGATACCTCCTGAGCAAACCAGATAGGCCGCCTACCCGGGAGTTTGGTTTTTCCTGAGCACGGAGGGCAGGGCCTGCTCTAGGAGTTAATAAAGGAGTGTGCACCTGTTATTTATGGGGTGGGGAGGAAACCCAGGCCGTTGTGGACAGGCAGCTGCTCGGTGTCAACGTGGCAAGCCGCGCCGGGTAGTGATTAGAGCTGACGAGGCATGGGATGGAACCTGTGCTTTTGGAGCTTTTTAAATTTACATCTGTTAAGATCAGACCTCCTCCACCCCCAAACGCGGGCACTGGGTGCATTAGTCATGAAAGGGTGTGACTCACCTCTGAGTCACCTCTGGGCGCTCACATTCCAGGATGGGGTCCCCTGGCCTCCAGGGCTGTGGCTGCAGGGGTGGGTGGGTGGATGGGTGACATCTTTGGCCCCCTCCCCCCGCACCCCTGTGTTTTCCAACGTGTGGCCTGTGAATGACAATGAGACCCTTTCTCACAGCATTGCCTCCCTTCTATAAAGCCGGGGTGGGGGGCATGTCGGGGTAGGGTCTGGGGTCCCTTCCTGCTCTAACATCTGTTATTCCATGGGACACAGGGGTTAGGCTGAAGGCACAGAATGCCCA